TCTGGAAGAGTTAGGACTTCGATTCGGGGAGTGGCGTGGACGGCTCTCAAGATGCCACGCCTACGAATTTGGTTCTCCCTTTGCTTCTGGAGAGATAATTGGATTGAGCTGGAATAAAAAGCCAACAATTATTCCGTCATTTAAAATTGTTTTTTTTTTAATCTAGTTCCGCGTCAAATAAACTTGTGCAGTTACAGATTGTCGAGTAAATTTCCTCATGGGTAAATCCAAAGTCTAGTCATATGTGCATTCGGATTTGACTCTAGAAGCTTCAGATCGACAGATCCAAGTCCAGAAGAACTTTGTCATTTTAGTGCGTGTTGGAATTATAATCCAGTTAAGGAGATAATAAAGCAAATTGTTTGGTAAATTTAGTTTATTATTACGTCTCATTTGGTACGCGGGAATGGGATAGAATAGAATGATCATTCTCATTTCTCGTACCCTCATACTAAATATAATCATTTTTTAGAAGTTGGAATGCTCGTTCCAAGGATTTTTGTGATTGATGAGGAATGGTCGTCCCCATTCAAGTGTAAATCAAATTAGTTACGCAATTTTCAATTATACCCCATTGATAACAAAAATAAATCTAGAAACCATGTCTCATTGAGCGACATAACCAAATTAATAACATGGATATGTATGAACAATTAATTAAGATGTTTTTCCTTAGACTTGCATATATAGGGAAATGGACTTTAGGATAGAAACACTTGCCTATTTTTATAAAATTTATTTTTAAAAAAATATTGTTTAGTTATTATCATTATTGTTTGTTTTATATTTTTAAAAATCTATGTTGTTGTAAGAGCATTATTAGAAAATAAGATTTTATTCTCACTTGTGAACTAATGATACCAAACATGGGAATCAGAAATGAGATTTTCATTCTAGTTTCATTCTACAAACGCACTCAAACACGAGAATGGGAATGTGCATTCCATTCCCATATACATTACATTTCATTCATTCTTCCATTCTGTTTTCATTTGAGTCCATTCATGCGTACCAAACGAGACGTTGTAGTTTACTCTTAAAAGCAAAGTGTTTGGCAAATAGATAGCTTATAAACCACCATTTATTATCAAACTAATCAAAATAATGATAATAATAATATTGGAGAAAGAGAAGGGGACTTAGAATTTTTGGAAATGATGAAGGGTGTATTAGTTTTTTACTCAGTCAACTATTGTGGCTACGACCACAATATCATCAAAGTCTTTATCCCAAAAATTTGAGGTCGACTATATGAATCATATTATTCCATTCTATTCTATTATGAAACATTTCCTCCATTAAGCTAATCATAAGCATATTCTTCTTAATTACTTCAAACGAAGTTCTTTTGAACTGATCTCTAGATCTCTTAGTTTTATCATATATAATACTATCATTTTTCCTAACCAAAGTATTAAAACGTCTCCGTAGTACATGACCAAACTATTTTAGTCTATTTTCTCTGTTTTTATCCTTAATAGAAGCAACTTCTAATTTACTACGGAAGCACTTGTTTCTTATCTTATATTTCAGTGTATACTCACAGAACCATCACAACTTTCTCATTTCTGTTTCACTCATTTTGTTTACATATGTTATTTTTTAATTATTTAACACTCTGACCCATAAAGAATTGTCGGTGTTATAACAATTGTAGCTTGTAAGCCACCAAAAAAAAAATAAAGTAGGACTGACTTATACTAAAATAAGTTATTTACCAAACACGTCAAAGTGCTTATAAGCCACAAAAGTGACTTATAAACTACGTACTTTGATCACTTGCCAAATATACTATTTTAGTCAAAGCTAGTACAAAATCTATTACGTTTGATGAAAATATAATTCGAGAAACTGATCTGTGTTTCAAGTATTGTTCACAGTAAACTTGGTATAAACACATGTTATTTTCTATAAACGCCAGAAACACTCTCATAGTTCGGAGAAAATCCTTAATTTTTCTTTTAGAGACTACTTATTTGCTTCACAATTCGGCTTCTTCAGTCATTTACATTAACGTGCAATGGAATACTAGTAGTAATAACAAGAAGGCCGGAGATTTTTACGTGTACATGTTCTTAGTAATGGTGTGAAGGGGGCGGATTCAAAACCTTAGAAGTCCGAGTTATTAATCTATAAGGTCCAATAGCAAGACCACATGCACCTCAGCCACCCGCTTCATCTTCTTAAAATGCATCATACCGGCTTTTACCTCAGCATGACACAAACTAAAAAAAACAAATTATTAGCGCGAGTAACAAAATACATTTATCAAGGAGACACAATGCGATAAAAATACATTGTAAAAAATTCAAAACTTTAAAACTTAGAGAGTTTTTTTTTTACTTTGCTTCGATTCAATTTTGATTAGGACAAATTTTGAAAATCGACCCATTTACAAAAAAAAGATTACAACATATTTGTCAAAATCGACACAGTTTTAGCTAGTTTGGCTGAAACTGGGTAACAAAATTTCACATGACTTGAAGTCCCGTGAAGTTTTGTAAGTTTTTTAGTCAAAATCGACCCACTTTTAACCATTTGATTGAAACTGAGTTGATTTTGACAAATATGTTGTAAATAGATCGTTTTTTGCAATTTTTTTTTTAAATGGGTCGATTTTCAAAATTTGTACTTTCGATTTTGGAACAAAGAATCATGTCTCATCTTTTTAAAAGAAAAGTCCGTTAAGGTTTCCAACTCACCAGGTTGATGGGTTGATCGTGTGCCAAAATTTCAAGGTCCTTATTATTGAGCTGACTTGTTCGGTGAGTCGCATCCAAACCGCGAAACTCAAGCATCATGCGCTCACTTGCAAACTTCCACGCTTATTTATCGACGACAATCAATCACTCCCCTCCCCATCCCCAATCCCTTTCAGATATCAACCGTCCAATCGCTTTCACCATCGATTCCCACACTGTCTTTTACACTCCAGATCTCGCATCCGAGGTCGAGCGATCGATCATCGATGAAGCCCATCGCCGATTGCGGCGGCGATCTGCTCAGAGCTCCTCAGATCCTCCGCATCTCCGTCCTCTTCCTGGTCGCCACCGCCGCCTTCTACCTCGGAAAGCACTTTTCCGACGGCGAATACCCTCAGTTGGTCTTCTTTAACTCCTCCGCTTGTCTGAGATCGGCGGTGGAGGTGGCGGAGGAGGCGGTGGGAATGAGACGGGGGAGGACACTAGGGTTAAGGTTAAAATTGGGAGGTTTAGGGTTTGCGATGAGGGGATGAGGGAGTATATACCGTGTTTGGACAATGCGGCTGCGATCAAGAAGCTGAAGTCGGCGGAGAGAGGGGAGAGGTTCGAGAGGCACTGTCCTGAGAAGGGGCTGGATTGCTTGGTTCCGGCGCCAAAGGGTTATAAGGCGCCGATCCCCTGGCCGCAGAGCAGAGATGAGGTTTGTCTTTAATTAGCTTGATTGAAATATTGTTTAATTTATCAGTTTGTGTAAAATTTTGGATAGATTTAGCTTGCTTTTTAATTAAGCTATTCGTTATTAGTTTAGATGTGAACTTTGTGCACTCTGTATTCGACAATATTATAGGAGAACAAAGAGAAGTACGAGCAAGAAATTGACAACTTTAACTAAAAAAGAAAAGGAATTGGCCATAATTGCACTGCCTATCATTTCGAACGCCATGGACTGTATTCGAGAAAAAGAAGCGTAGCTTGTAACTGCATGGAGTACATGACCTATAGTATATCGCTACATTGTTACTCTAGAGAGAATATGACCTGTAATTGCACAATGTAATGATATATGATATTTAGTTAGAGGGATGTGCAGACATACTTCATTTGATCGTTCTCATGGAAAGGGAGGGAGGGAGGGCAAGAGAGGGAGGTAGACACTGGGGTTGAAGTATTATTTCATAGTGTTGGATTATTGGTGTATGCCCGTCCAATTCTTCTGAAATTGACTGATTCTTCTAATATTTGCTGATAGGTACGTAAGAGGTCATTTGATGTTTGAATCACCAATAATCCCTTGATTTTATAGGTTTAACTACTGGAATATAGTGTTCTATTTTTGTATCAAATCCGGATAGGAGGTTATGCTAACTGCCTGTATTTGCTGATGATGTGATGCGACCTTATGACATGTTTTAGCTGAATGATCAAGGTTACAAATATTTCTTCGGTTGCAAGCGAAGAGTTTGGTCTTTTGTATTATTTGACGATTAGTTCCTGGAACTGATGAGGTAAGGGTGTTTGAACAATCTGGTTGATAATTATCAGCTCTTACTATAGAGCTTTGAACTGGAAGCTTGAGTCTGGTGAAAATTTTGAGTTAAAATTATTCTGCAACTGGATATGTTGAGCTCACATACTCCTTTTTTCTTGGTCATTGCCCTGAACGTGTTAGAAATATTTATCTGAAATGCTATCACAGGTATGGTTCAGTAATGTACCACATACACGTTTGGTTGAGGATAAAGGAGGACAAAATTGGATTACACGGGATAAAGATAAGTTCAAGTTTCCTGGGGGAGGAACTCAGTTCATACACGGAGCTGACAAATATCTTGATCAGATATCTGAGGTTCTTAATTCCCACAGAGGGCATATCTTCAGTTAAAATTCATGTTTCTGATGCAAACTGGGTTGCTATATATGTTATTCGTTCTGTCCATGCAGATGATTCCGGATATTGCATTTGGTAAACATACTAGAGTTGCACTGGATGTTGGATGTGGGGTAGCAAGTTTTGGTGCTTTTCTACTTTCAAGGAATGTACTCACCTTGTCAGTAGCCCCAAAAGATGTTCATGAGAACCAGATTCAATTTGCTTTGGAACGTGGTGTGCCTGCAATGGTAGCAGCTTTTGCAACACATCGGTTATTGTATCCAAGTCAGGCATTTGACCTGATTCATTGCTCCAGGTGTCGAATAAATTGGACCCGTGATGGTAGTTTACTACTTAATATTTTAATGATAAATTATTATAGTATACTGCATTTTTGCCAATATTGTTCTATCTTGGTTGCTTAATATTTGGATTTTGGAATATACCATCAGCAATCAGTTGCTGATGGTCCATTTCACGCTAATTTGAACTTAAGAAGAAGTTCAGCGCAGACCCTAACTATTGTTATATCTGATTTATGCTGTAGAACTTTTCCTCTGTCTGTTTCCTTTGAATCCTTTTAGATTTCATTTAATAGATGAAGACATTGCAAGCTCTTTCTGTATTGTGTATTCAGCTGTATAGATTGGTTTAACAAGCAAAAGCTATTTTGATGTCAAGAATTGTGTGATAAATGCCTTAGGTTCACGCCAAAGTCTGTGTTGAACTTCTTCTTTATCCATTGCACCATCACATGTGTATTATGCAGCCTTCCACAACAGGTGGTTGTACTTTGTGCTGATTGGCACAAATTTCATCCCCCCAAAAATTGTTTACAAATGACGAAATGTCTTATTTTCTCATGCTCGATTTGTTTGATCCTATATATACATTGTTAAAGGCTCCTTGAGAAAGCATGAGGCTCCAGGATCTTAGGATTTAATGTCATTAATCACTAAGATGGCTTAAGGTGTAATAAACAAAAACCACTAAAACTTTCCTGGGTTTATGGTACTGACCAAAATTTTCTTTGTGAAGATGGAATTCTGCTTCTTGAGCTCAATAGAATGCTCAGAGCTGGAGGTTACTTTGCTTGGGCTGCACAGCCAGTTTACAAACACGAAGAGCTTCAACAAGAAGCATGGAGAGGTATGTTCTCTTAAGTCATAATAAAGTACATTCTAAGACTTTGGTATCATTTACTAATATTTGGTGCGAGTTGCTATTTGGTAATAGCTAGTACGTGAAGTTTCCCTGAATAGATATAGATGCAAGGCAGTCCCCTGACTTCTCTTTTTTATTGTATTTTCTGTAAATCATTCACTCTATGCAGTCGTGTTTTCATTAGGAGGCAAATTGCTTGACGCCTTTGGCACTTCAACTAAATCCAGCCGAATAATGTTTTATTGCATAACCATGATGCATTCTATATCCAAGCATGGATTTCAAGTGTCTTGCAGTTTATTCAGAAGTTGTCTTTGCTGACTCTTTCACTCTGGATGAATTTTTTTTCTTCCTGCTTGTTTTTCTATGATTATTGCTTACACGTGTTTACATATTTAGAGATGGAAGACCTTACAACTCGAATGTGTTGGGAGCTTGTAAGGAAAGAAGGCTATATTGCAATATGGAGGAAGCCTTTGAACAATTCATGCTATTCCAATCGTGACTCAGGAATCCAACCACCACTTTGCGATGTTGAGGATGACCCAAACAGTGTGTGGTAATTTTAGACGCAGTTTATTTTATATTGTAATGTAAAAGAAAAAGATCTCCGAAGTGGTTATTATTCCAAACAACTTTCACTAAAGGATGTTATTCCTTGTTTATAATTGTATTTTTTTGGTTAAGGTATGATGTGATAGAAAAAGGTGACTCTGCATTTACGAAAATTTCTTCAAGTCTTTTACCTAGTTCCTAAGGATTGCTTCTTTATTTAGGTATGTTAATCTGAAACCATGCATCAGTCGCCTTCCTGAGAATGGGTATGGAGCAAATATTACAGACTGGCCTGCTCGTCTGCATGAGCCTCCAAAGAGGCTCCAGAATGTGGAGATGGATGCTTATATGGTTAAAAATGAACTCTTCAAGGCAGAAGAAAAATATTGGAATGACACTGTTCAAGGTTATATACGTGTTTATCGTTGGAAAACGTTGAAATTGCGGAATATTATGGATATGAGGGCTGGTTTTGGAGGGTAAATTTCCTTCTCGTTTAATTTCTTGTAATTTTCCTGTTGGCTTAATGCTTACTTACTCTAGGAACTTGTAAAACCTGATATAGGAATAAATCTACCAAAAATAAAAGCGAGTAAATAAATTGAACTACCAGATTGTAAAAGTCTAAAAGATGCAGGAGCAAACAAAACAAGCCAGACTTGGATTTTCTGTATTTTCCTGTTGTATTATGCTTACAGAAATTGTTTACATTAAATCTTTAGAATAAAGCAAGGTAACAAAGTGCTCCCAAATTTAAATTTGTTATCCACACAGCCAATTGTAGATATTATTTAATTATTCTCTATTCCAGTCAATATCAAGTTAATAGGTTAACTTTATAGTTTCAAATTATCATGGTAAGTTTTGAACAAGATTACGGGAAGTAAAAACTCCAACTGTACCATTTATGACTTTGGATCTAAGCAAGTAGGCATTATGGAAAGGGTACCTGGAGTGGAATTAAAAAAACTGGTGAATAAGTGAATAGTTTTGATTGTTTATTTGTTTTTTTTGTAATATGTGTTTTTTCTCCTCATTTTTTTATTCCTTACATTGCTGGATAACTTTTCTTTCATGTTTATCAATACTGATTGCAGGTTTGCAGCTGCAATCAATGATCAGCAAATGAATAGCTGGGTGATGAATGTTGTCCCAGTTAGCGGACGCAACACCCTGCCCGTAATATATGATCGTGGTCTCATAGGAGTGATGCATGACTGGTATTCCCTTGCGACTTTATGTTCTTGAAAACTAATGTTGTTTTTTGGTCTTTCTATGTTGAGAAATCAAAGATATTAAGATGCAGTTTGATTGTCTTGCTACATCAAGTAACAAATGGTGCCTCAGTTCAGGCAGTTCCATGACTCATGTACAGTAATCAATTATTAACATGACAACCATTCTTTTGAATTTTATCCTACAGCAAAGAAAGTATATAGATACAATAAATACCTTTCCGATTCTCTATTCTTCACTCCAAGGCTGTAACATGTCAGAACACCCCAGGATAGAATTCTCTCTTCTTTATTAATATGCCTTCCTACGATCATATAAAGTTTCTTCATTTTAAGATGCCTGATTCTTCCCTATTCTTTCCTTACAGGTGCGAGCCATTTGATACATATCCTCGGACCTATGACTTTTTGCATGCATCTGGCCTCTTCTCCAAAGAACAAAAAAGGTGATATACTCTTCCCACAGCAAATCTGATTGTCGAAATCATAGCATAGATCTTGTCATATTCTTGCTTATGCAGCAAGTCAGCAACAAATATATTGACACCTATTAAGGGCATTAGAAAATGGACCATATAGTTGGTGGCTGTCCTCTTAGACTTGCTGTAATCTATTTGTTGACTGAAGATTAAACTGTCAAATAAGTGATCCATGTCATTGATAGCTCCAAATATTTTCTCTAGACAATTGAAGGGTTGGTCCTTATCAAGGAGCAGTCACCTATAAATAGATGGGAGTCATTTGAAAATGGCTGCTGCAAAATACTATAAACCAATTCACTGAATTTTACTCAAGTATTCAACATAGCTGAATTTTTTATTTTCTGTTTATGAGAAGAACTCATAATTTACCTGGAAATTCCCTCCATACCAATGTCAGGTGCAACATCACATCGATCTTGCTGGAGATGGATCGGATACTAAGACCTGGAGGATTAGCTTACATACGTGATACAAAATCTATCCTTGAAGATATCAAAGAAATCACAGAGGCCATGGGATGGAGGTCAGACCTCAGAGACACAGCTGAAGGTCCATATGCAAACAGGAAAATTTTGACATGCCAGAAGCAAAGGTTGCATTGAAACTGAATAAAAGGGGGAAATAAAAAAGAGAAGGAAAAAAGAAATGATTAATTGTTTCAGTAGATTGTGATATACAATGGGCTGTGTCGGTGATCTTTTTTTTTTTTAACAATTCGGGTGATATTTTGTACACAGGTATAGGCGATTAATTATTTAGATTGTTTCTTGATTTGGCTTCAAGTTAATTATATCTAACTGATTGCGTAGGTGGTAGACATCTTTGTATGTATGTTTTCATCATCCTGGGTGTAGTAAAGTTTATTCGCCTTTCTCATGTATTAATTAGCCTATTTGGCTTGCTAATACTAGTATTTGTGCTCCTTTTTGATTGAAGAAGTCTTTTCTTTTTGGCGAAGTTGGATGTTTGTGTATTTTGGTAGCTTTTTTTTGGGGGAAAATAAAATAAAGCTACCAATTATTTCATCTGAGTTACTGCATTGCTCTTAAGCGTGTGGCTAGATTGACAGTAGGCAAGAAGAAAGTTCTCCAAAACCATTTTGAGTTTCAAAAGTCATCAGCTGCTTCTTTATAGATCACAACTGGAAAGGTTCTAAAACATGGGTTTTTTGGGATATGTTCTTCAGATGTGTATCATCATAACATAATATAAGTGAACAATGACAAATTTTTGATTTATTTGATAATTTGTATATTGGAACGGGGAGGAAACTCGGTGCTAAACATGTTGAATTGAACAGTAAAAAATATTATATTTTATATTTTTGAAATGAATGGAGAGTTGGTCAATATGATACTCATAGCTTTTATAGTTAGCATAGTTGTTCATCTATGAAGCCCCAGATGTTTTTATTCAGTATGGCGAAAAATATAATATTATGTGTTAAAAACGATCGTACAAAGAACAAAAAACAAGGTTTCTACACGTTTTACTCTAACTATGGATAAAAGCCCATGCCCAATATAAATCTCTGTATTTGATTTAGTTTTTTTATTGGAAAAAAATAATTAAAATGACAGATACAAAAGAAATTTACGTAGGGGTAGATATGCAAAATTAGTTTACAAATAAAATTGCTCAATAAATTACGAATTGTCAGGGCTTTATCGGCATAAAATAATCTATATTATCCTCCTGAGCTCTTGCTCATTATTCATTTCTCGTTCACCTTCTCTCTCGATCGCCGCCACTTCCCGCGATAACAATCTCTCTCTCAGGTGAATCCCAATCTCAAATCTTTCGATAAAATTCAGTCAAAATTTTCGATCTAAATTCTAAATGCACATATCGTAATTTCGGATCTAGGTTTTCCCCTAAAAAATTGACCGATTGAAATATTACATCTGTATCTAATTGTCTTACGATCTGATTAGACGATCTCAATAGTTGTATCTAATTGTCTTACGATCTGATTAGACGATCTCAATAGTATATTATATCTGAGTAATTAGGGTTTGGTATGAGATTATTTCGCGATCTGCGATATCTGTTGGAGAAATCTAGGGTTTGCGCTTGAATAGTCGAGTCTTGGAGGTTGATTGTATTTTTTGTGTTTCAAATCTCTTAAGGTTGTTGCTATTTCCGAAAAGTTTGTAGATTTATATTCGAGTTGTTTCAATTGAGCACTTTCATTGATAAATTAGTTTTTGTTGAAAAAGTAGGTATAGATTTATATTCAAATTCGTTCCATTTTGAATTTAAAACATAGGCGAAATTTTACTAGGGTTACCAGGTTTTGCTTCTAGGTTGTAGTCTAAATTGGTCCACAAATCGTATATGGTCTGTGATCATTTAAAAAAACATCTTGATCCCCCCCCCCCCCCCCACCCAAAAAAAAAAAAAAAAAAAAAAAAGATCTTGATTTTTTTATGATAGTAATAGTTATTGATTTATGATCTTTTGGCAAAGCAGTGCCCACATCTACAAAAAATTTGCGACTTTTTGTTTCTATTTCCCACCATCTCTTCATTTGTTTTAGTCTATATTTTTTCCCTCGTAAGGAACTTTGCATGTTTTCTGCATGCATTGACCATCCATTTGTAACTGGATATTGTAAGCTTAATTGTGCTTTTCACAGGATAATTTCAATGTGCACAGTTGATTGGTTTGAATATGTAATGGTTTACTGGTTACTTATATTTGGAAGTTCAGGCGGACTGGCTGTTTTGAAATTGTAAATTTGAAAAACCACATAAGTACATATCTAAGTGACGTTGTTTTACTTGTAGTCTAAGCTATCAAATTCCAGTTCATTATTTTTGGTTTGTTTAGACGTATCTGGAGGTTGAATAATCCTAAAAAGGCGTGTGATATCATTGAAATTTTAATTTTTTTTATAGTGAGTTCCAGTTTGTTAGACGATACCAAATTGCATTTATGGTGATAAGTTGATTCCAGCTATTCCATCACAGAAATGATGGTATTCCTCTCACATGTAAGGGTTGGATATTACTGTTAGTCAGCAGATCCTATTTCGAATGTAAACTGCTAGATACCTTTAGAGTTAAAAGTTTATGGAGGGAGCATGCGTAATGGTATTCTTTATTGGCATACTACTTTTTTTACGTTCTCAGCTTTCTTAGCACCTTTTTGTTTGTTCTATTCACGTTTTGTCATAGCTTAAGCAGTTAATTGAATATTGACAATTTCATAATCATTCTTTGTTCGTTCTTGTATAAATAGTTATCCCTTTCCCCTTGTTATAGGAATTCAGCATTTACCTATCCCCTTGTAGGTAATATATTATATATTTCTCTTTTGCATGTTTATAGGTTTTTAATGATGCTCTGTAACATCCGTCACATGAATATCTTGGGTTCACGATGTCTCTGAATTTGAACTTTTTACGCTGGCTACTGTGACTCTAAAGGGTGCATCACTAGTTGCTCCAAATCAATTTTCTAATCTGAGTGGTGCTGGTTTATCTGCATGTATGAATCTTGTCAGGACTGGGTAGTTGTTTTTTCACATTCTACACTAATGACTTACAATATGCTTTCATAACAACTAAATAAAATCTAGTTCTATTGACAACAAATAAAGGATAGTTGTTGCAAGTTAGTTTCCAAGCGTTTAGGTTCTCTGTCTGTTTGATGTCTTACCAAGTGTATGTCCATATTCATGGCATTAGCTAAAAGATATCTAATAGATGTGAATGTTGTCTTGTTATTTGGAAGCTCTGGGATCACATGCCATTTTCTCCTTTTTTTGGAAGTTGGAATTTTATCTGAAGTGTTTATGTTTATTATGTTGCAGGATGACTGAAGTCACTGAACAACCTTTCAGGCCCAGGGAGAAGCTTCAGCAGTATCAGCAGATTTTTCAGAACACCCATAAGCATACATACCTGAAAGGACGTTTTGATAGGATAACATCTGTGGCTATCCCCCTTGCACTGGCAGGATCCACCTTGTTCCTCATTGTAAGATCTCTGTTTGTCCTTTTCTTTTCTTTTCTTTTTTCCTTTTGTTTAGTTATAATTTCTGTATGCATTGTTTTCATTTTATATTATACTATATTCTAAACAATCTAAACCTACTGTGTTTCCACTGTAGATAGTGTTCATAGCTACAGGCATCCCAACAGGCTTAGCTTTATATTGTAGTGGGTAGAGGTGGTATAAATAAGGTATTTGCACATAAATCCGAAATTGTAAACCAAATTATTTTTAAGCCCATCAACTTTCAAACTATGAAAATAATATTTTAGCCCAAAATGCTATGAACAGAGATAATATAATAATATAATGAGGTATGATATAATAAGTCTTTTGCCTATAAACCCAAAACTTTTCCTCTATTATAATATAATAATATAATAATATAATAATATTTTAAACTCACTTTTAGCCCAAAATGCTCATCAACTTTGCTGCAACTTCCAAACTAACTTTTAGCCCAACGTTTTTATCAACTTAAAAATAATATAATAATATAATGAGGTACGATATAATTGGTCTTTTGTCTATAATCCCAAAGCTTTTCCTCTATTTACCCACTCACCCACTTTCCAAATTGTTGTTAGATTTAAAATACTCAAATGAGTTGTGTCTACACTCATTTTGTATTTGACGAGTTTGGTAAACAACATTAGTTATTATATTCTGCTTTGACTTTCTATATTTCTTTTCTAAGTGGTTTAGTATACAGTGTATTTAAATAAAATACTTAAACCATTATTTGTTTTCTTTTTCACACAAGTGTCCGTCATCGTGTAATGGATGTGTTTTTCTCCTATAAATCCAAAATTTTATCCCATTTATTCTCAACAAAAAAACTCATTTTCAATCTTATTTACTCCCACTAAAGTTTCACTCTAAATCAGTTTTTAGTTTGATTTAACCAACTTTAGGGTCATAATTAACCAGTTTTCATGATGTGCATATCACATTGAAACTTTTAAAAGAATATTTCAACATTTAATCAAAGAAGGTAGCAAAATGCTATTTTAAAAATAATGGGGTTTTTAAATGCCAAGAAAAAATGTAGGGTATTTAAGTGTAAATTCATGTAAACTATTGGGTATTTAAATATCAAGAAAAAAGGATAGGGTATATAAGTGCAAAGTCATGTAAAACTGTAGGCTATTTAAATGTCAATAAAAAGAGATAGGCTATTTAAGTGCTTTTTAGTCCCCAAAATACTCCACCTAGAGTTTTACTCCAATTTATTTTAGACTTGCCTACTTCCAAAAAGGTTTTTTGCTTATAAATCCAAAAAATTTCCCCGTCTATTTTTTAACCCACACACTTGCTATTCAGTCTTTGACCCAACATAATCGACCAAATTATTTTTAAACCCATTTTATATTCTAGCAGTCTACTGTATAGTGCATGTTGTGATATTTTCTTGTTACTTGCG